CATATTTTTCTAAAATTATATAGAGTGCAATGTCACAGGTATATCAGAGGGCTGAGCGGTATCCCAGTTCCAGGTTACACTCCGGAGAAGCTCGTCACACACACCCAACGAACAGGTCCTCCTAGACCGTGAGTCCATTTCCCAGTTGTCATGCACTCAGTTACTGAAGGAGAGATGGTGGCTACAGTAGGTGAGTCAGGACTCATGAGTTCTGTCTGTCATTCTCTGTGGGATCTTTGTCAAGTCATGTCTCCCTTTGCCTGAGTTTACCTATCTGTATAATGGGGATATGTTCATAGGGACTTTACCTAACTAGGTGTTTTCAATATCCGCCAATGAAAGGTGCTGCACAGCATGATAATAGTTCTTGATGAGAATTACTCATCTTTGATCCCTTAGTGACAGCCCTGTGTGCCTGCAGAAAGTGCTTGTGTCTCCCCTCAGTCATCTGTCTCCAGATCTGTCTGTCTGCTATCTACCAAGCCATCCTAGGCATTCACAGAGTATCAGACCCTAGGGAGGCCTAGGCATTATCCCTACTTTTCTTTCTAATCAACTATAATTTTTAAATATACACAAATACACAGAGCAGCCAATTCCTCTCTGATTCAGCACAGCCCAAGAGCTCTCATCTCCCTTCGGGAAGGTCCCTTAATTACTGTTTACTTCTGAATCTGGACAAAAAGCCCAGAAGCCCAGACATGGAAAGAAAGATATTAGCAAGAGTGTCTCCAGTCTCCAGCCTGTTTGAATCCAGATGCCACTTCTCCCCCCGAGGCTGAGCGAACACAACTGGGATTGCGAAGAGCTATATTATTAACAGTGTTCAGCCCTGTGTCAGCTCTCAGCGTGGGATGTTGATGCAGATGCTGGGGTGAGAGAGGTGTGGGACACGGCTACCTGACGGGGATTCCCAAGAAAGACACTTCCACTTCACAATTCGCAGGTACCCATGTTTAGCTGAGGAGCTCATCTGCTGGACAAACCAAGAGCAACATGGGCATAATGGCATAACGAATAGGTCTGTTGTCCTTTATGCTCTGCACAGCCATTAAACATCCCAGGGCCCTTGCCACAGGGGTGAGTTTTACCCGTATCACTGTGCAAAATGCCATTCCTTTCTGTGGACACCCACCTGCCCCTGCCAATGGCCTCAAACCCTGAGGTGGCTGTATTTTAGAGGCACAGTGGATCCTTCATGATGAAAGGTGTTAATAGATGTACAATACAAGGCAAAATTCGGAGGCCAGGCCCTGTATTTTGCTCAGGCCCCAGTGAGGCAAAATTTCCCTTGGAGTAAGAACTGAATAAAGACCTCAGGAGCCAGCTGTGTGTTAATGCACAGACACTGTCACTGTCACTGTCCTCCCCTTGCAATGTTAGGCTTTGTCTGTTAAAAGTGTGTGTGGGGGGGAAGGGGAGTTACCTGACTTTTATCTGCTGCAAAGCATTGAGGAATAATTATAAGAATTTTTCAACATGGGCAACATATATTCTCTCCTAGCTTCATTTGAGATGTTGGCTGAACTGTTATGCCTGAAACAGTGAACACACAATTCAGCCAGGAGGAGACACCCCGCATTGCAAATATAAGTTCGAATGGTTACAGTTTGGGAAGCTTAAAAAAAAAGAAAATGAGGTCTCCTAATTGAAGCTCTTGGAGAGCCTTAACTAAGGGTGCCCCCCAGAACCACCTACAATAGCCATGTGTGAGTCCCATTCAGCTAAGCTGTTTGCTCCAATAATGTCAGTGGCAATGAGTTCCACAGGCCAAATAGGTGTTAGATGTTCAGATTTTCAATGTAATTGAATATTCCCTTGTTTGTGTGTTGTGAAACAGAGTAAATATAAATGCCTGATCTACTTTCTTTGCTGAAAGATTCATATGATTTAAGGTCAGAAGGGACCATTTGATCATCCAGCCTGACATCCTGTATAACACAGGCCATTATATTTTACCCAGTTATCTTTGAATCGAGCTTCATAACATGTGTGTGACTAAGACCTGCTCCACTCTAGGATTTTAGTTTACAGAATCATAGAGCCATGGAGTTGACCGGCTGCCAAGATGTAGAATGTGTTGTGTCTAAACCATCTCAGAAAGATTGGTGTCCAGCCACCTTTGGGATACCTCCAGCGAAGGAGCTTCCACAACCTCACAAAGCATCTGTTTCGTTGTCCTCCTGTTCTTAAAGTTAGGAAGTTTTTTTCTCAGATATAATCGAAATCTGCTATGCTGGAGTTTGAACCCACTGCCTGTTGTCCTATGCTCTGCGGCAAAAGATAATAACATTCCTCCATCTTTCTTATCGCAGCCTTTCAACTATCCAAAGACTGCTCTGATCTCCCCGTCAATCTCCTCTTTTCCACACCAAACAAAAATGGTTGCTTCAGCCCTTGCTCATATGGCTTGCCTTCTATCCCTTTGATCATTGTTGTCGCTTGCCACGGGATCCTTTCCAGTTTCTCTACATCCTTCCTATACATCGGTGACCCAAACTAGACACAATACTCCAGCTGAGGCCTAACCAATGTCCAGTAGATGAGTACTATCAGCTCGCATGATTTCGTTGCCTTTTTTGAAAAAATCAACACCCCTTAAAAATGTAGCTATATCAACGTAACCCTGGTGTAGAATTCTTCAATGGACTTAGCTACTCCTCTTGGGGAGGTGGATTAACGACTTTGATGGGAGAACCTCTGCCGTCGGTGTAAGTAGTGTCAACATTGAAGCACTAGGGCAGGACCATTGTAGCTTTTTAAGTGTAGACGAGCCCTCAAGCAGATCTTCCAGAAAAGCATCCAGTCTGGATCTGCTGGCATGGGGAATTGGAGAATCCACCACTTCCCTTCGCAGTGTGTTGCAAATTTTAATCACCCAGAGTGGTAATCACTTGGCCCTTATTTCCAACAGTAATATTTTTTACTTCAGATTCCAGGGATTGGGTCTTGCTTTGTCTTTCCTCACTAGAGCACATTATTGGTATTTAAGATGAATAAATGAAGCCTCTTAAGTCACTCTCTCTGACCGGCATTTTCTCCAGTCTCCAATCATTTTTGTGGCTCTTTTCTGAACCCTCTCTGATTTTTCAACATCATTTCTGAAATGTGGAACCCGGGAGTGGAAACGGTCGGTTTCACCAATACCACGTGCAGAGGTAAAATTCTTCCCCTGTTCCAACTCACCATTCCCCTGTTTTATGTATCCAAGGATCCCTTGGCCACAGCATACCACTGGGAGATCACAATGAGTTGTTTGTCTACAATGACCCCTAAATCCTTTCCAGGGTCCCTGCGTTCCATAATACAGTGCCCCAGTCTGTGGATCAAGACTGCATGCCCTGTTCTGAGAGGATCCCTTTGTATTTGTCTGTAATAAAACATTTTGTTTGCATGGACCCAGCTCACCAAATGTTCCAGATCAATCAGTATGCCTGCCCTGGCCTCCTCATTGTAACAAATCTGGCAATCTTTGGGTCATCTGTAAATTTTATTCTTCAGTGATTTTCTATTTGATTCCAGATCATTGATGAAAATATTGAATAGTATTGGGCCAAAAACAGATCCCTGCAGAACCTCATAAAAACACCCCCATTCACTGACAGTGGCCCATGGACAACTGCTTTCTAAGATCTTTCAGTTAGCCAGTTTTTAGTCCACTTTACATGTGCTCTACTGATATTGTATAGTGTGCATTTTTTTATCTGAATTTTTCCCCCCACTGAAACAAATGCCTCAGAGAAATCGAAGTGTATTGCATCTGCTTGGTTCCCTTGATCAATCAAAAGTGTACTCTCATTTAAGGATGAAATCGGGTTTATTTGACAAGACGTGTTTTCCGTAAACCATGTTGTTGACTGGCATTAATTATATTCCTATGGGGTTTTTCTAACTAATCCCAGACCAACTTTTCCAGTCTTTCTTAGTTTTGTAAAATCTTTCTTTAAAACTTTCCCTTTTTTATTGAATCGTTTACGTTTTACCCAGAACTGTCCTGTCCTCCTCCCCCTTTTTTATTCTTTTGTCTCTCCGGCTGCCTCAGTGTGTACTTCTGGTTACGAGTGAGATGTGCGCTTAATCATTCAGTTCGTAACTCTGGTGTTTGGAACTCTAAGATTCAATTGTAGATGCTGTTTATTGCCATCCTTGACTGCTAATGGACTGGAAAGTATTTCATCATCTTATGTGATATATGTTTCTCACACTGCTTTTTTCCGAATGCAGAACTCAACTATATCTTGAAGATATCTACCTTTCCTGCAACATTAACAAACTTTGTTTCTCCCTCAGAGAATTGAGCTATACCTTTCCTAGGATTTCTTTTGTTCTCAATATACTTTTATAACCTCCTTTTTGTAATCCTTAAACCTGCGAAGCATGGATTTTTCCATGACGTTTTTAGCATGCCTTATCAATATTCATAAATTCCAATTTGTATTATTTGCTCTCTATTTTCCCTTTTTCCCCATATGTTATATATTGCTTCCCATTCCAATCTTCCCCCAATTGCTCCCATGAGAACAGTCCTCAGTTGTGCATGTACTGTCTCATATTAACATTTCCTCTCCATTCAGGCATTTGTACTGCAACCATCACCGTAGAGCCTGGGCACATACACAAATTCAGAAGAACGTACAGTACATGCAGGAGACACCGTTCTGTCTCAGAGTTGGACACCTTCTCCCCTACTCCATGTCAGATTCCAACACAACCGACTTCACCAACCCCTCCACCTTCATCCTGCTGGGCATTCCTGGCCTGGAGGCAGCTCATGTCTGGATCTCCATCCCCTTCTGCATCATGTACATCATAGCCATCTTGGGGAACTTCACCATCCTGTTCATCGTGAAGAGGGAGCGGAGCCT